GAGAGAGAGAGAGAGAGAGAGAGAGAGAGAGAGAGAGAGAGAGAGAGAGAGAGAGAGAGAGAGAGAGCAATGAAATCAAATTAAATAACATGAATAAGTAGTAGTGCGAGGATATGTGTCCTCGGCATGCCCGTATGCCCCCCCCGCTGCAAGCATTGTGCCCGCCCAAAGTGAACGCAGGCCCTGTACCTCAAAAAGGCCTGAATATTGCAAAATTTGCCAGCCCTGGTGGGCGCCAGACGGTTACCTCGCGCCAGTTGGTTACAAGGGACCACATGTGTCACCCCCTAAGTGAAGGCGGGCCCTGTAGTCTAGAGGGCGTGAGCCTTCTAGACGCTTCCAGATAGCAACATGGAAGGAGGCGTACCGGCCAATCAGCTTGCAGCAAACAGCGGGAGCCACGTTGGGTAGTCGAGGGTGACAACCGAACGGGGCCCAGGGCATGATTGGTTAGGGCCCTGTTCATGCACAGCAAGAGCCTGGAGGCCGATGTGTCGCACAGCAGCAATGGACCAACGAAAACGCAGCAGCCGTGTCACACGCTGGCCACAAACCTATCAGAATGCGGCCAACACTCGGCATCTGAGGGCATACTTGGACGTGCCTAACTGCATCGGACCCAGGCCAGTATCTGAACTGGCCCTTGGGCGCAGACGCCTTGGGTCCGATTGGGAGATACTGGGAACTCCCACGAGCAGGCCTAGGCAGACAGAAGCTGCCAGCACTTTCCATAAAGGGAAGTGCCTGCCTCATGGTGAGGCATTCTGGCTGTGTGCTTGCTGGTTTGAGCGCTGGAGACCGTTGGTAGGCCAGGGGCTGGGAGGGCGCACATGGGGGGAGGAGGGAAGGTGGGCGCTGCTGGAGGCAGCGCCAGCCGAGCTTGGGAAAGGAAAAGCCAGTGGAGGTGGTGGTGGTCTTCGGAAGTAGAGGATAAGCTGTGGGTGAAGACAAGGTGAGCATTGAGAGGGCAAGTGAGAGGCAAGACGCTGGAGCACGTACCTGGTCCTGGCGGAGGTCTACATGGTCGACATCTGCATGTACCTTGGTTGCTGCTGCTGACGTCAACTGGTTGCATCGTCAGTTTTGTAGGCTAGTATAGTAGCTCTAAGTTCGTAGTCTGGGCGCTGAGCGCCAAATAGGGGAAAGAGCTTCGGCAACATTGTTGATGGGGGCCAGACAGGGCTTTCATTGACAATTGAGTTCGCTGATTCGGTTCTCCTATGGTGTAATGTCAGCGCATATCTGCTTTCTGGACAGCTTTTTTTTTTTTTTTTTTTGAATTCTGGACAGCTTACGACTTTCTGGCTTTCAATGTGATTTTACAATCTGAAATTCTGTCATTTCGCTATTGCTCATTTTCCTTGCAATAGCCAAAATATTAAAATATTAATTTATTAAAATAATAATCAACAAATTAAAATGAAAATGGAGGAGTTGCAAGTCTAACTGAGAACTTGAGGAGTTGATTGTTAAACAATCGAGTTTTTTTTTTTTGAATGAAGAAGTCAAGGTTTGAATTTCATACCAATAGTCACAGTCATGTCCGCCATCAAAGGTACGTTCCTCGGCGGTGAGCGAAAGCTGATCAAATGCGGCCCTGCATGCATCAGTAACCAATAACAGTCCAAGTTCAGTCCGTTGTCCAACCCTTTTGGTCAGCAAATAACAATAATTCGATTGTGAATATACAATCCCTTGGTAAGCAAGACCCCCCCCCCCCCCCCACCCCCACACTGACTGTAAAACTGCAAAAGCACATCTTGC